CCGTTTAGCTTTCTCGGTGGTTTGCAAGCGCTGACCACGGATCCAGAGCCACTTCACCGAGCTCAAGTACGGCGGTGACGAGAAAACTCTCCGCTGGTTGGCTGACGGCAAGTCGCAGTGGTCGACTGACCTCGTGGCTGGCACATGGTACAACTTCGCCTACGAGATTGACTTCTCGGCAAAGACGGTTGGTCTTTGGACCTCGACTGGAGCGGAGGCTCTGACGAAGGTTGTGGAGCCTGTTAGTGCAGCCACACAGACCGATTCCAAGGATTGGCACGTTGGTGAACTACGACTGGACAACGGACAGAAGGGAGGGAAGGAGGATTGGTTCTGGTCCGGTGTTTACATCGAGAAGGGCGAGATCACCACGGCCATTGCTGGGCCCGCTGCTTAGACACTTCGGATTCTAGTTCTTCATTCTACAGGATATTAGAAGAAGTGGATTGTATATTGATTGACAGGTCATAGCATTCACAATCAATTATGTTGCATTATTTCATCACATAAAGTATTTGCGTCAAATCATTTCAGGAATCAACCCCCCGTCGTGGAAAATCATTTACCGCACGCAGTAACCACCATCAATACGGAGATCACTGCCAGTCATGTAGGAACTGGCATCACTGCACAGGTACACATAAGCCCCCTTCAACTCCTTCGCATCACCATTGCGACCCATAGGAATCATACTCAACCAGAGATCCTGGATCTTCTGGTCCACGAAATCCGACAATCCCGTATCGATATAACCGGGCGAGATACTGTTCACACGAGCAAAGTCTCTCCACTCATTCGCCAGCGAACGCGCCATGTGGATACACCCAGCCTTAGCAACATTGTACGAGGTCTGCTCCTGGGGGAAGTTGGCAATGTGGCCCGACATACTGGCCGTGATGACCAGGCTGCCCTTGCCCCGCTTCTTAAAGTGCGGCCCCACGGCCTTAGCGCAGTGGTATGTTCCGTTCAGATCCGTCTGCACGACCTCCATCCACGCCTCGACGGTGGACTCCAAGACGCCGCCGTCAGCGGTCCGGCCGGCGTTGGCGATGAAGGCGTCAATCTGTCCAAAGTCCTTGATCACGTCGTCCACCAGCTTCTGGACACTCTCCATGTTGCCGATGTCGCATTTGTAGGCCTTGGCTTCTACGCCGTAGGCCTTCTTGAGTTCCTCTGCGTTCTTTTCGCCGCCTTGGGGACGGGAGGAGTAGGTGAGGGCGATGTTGGCGCCCATTTCGGCGCAGCCGCGGGCAGCTTCGATGCCCATGCCACGGGGTCCGGAGGCACCCGTTACGACTACGACCTTGCCTTTGAGGCTGAGGAGGTCGGTCAGGGAGTTGGCGGAGGGGACGGGGATAGGCATGTTGGATTTGTATGTACAGAGGAGTTTATTTCGTTATTATCAAGAGACCAATTGAGGTATGGAGGATTTGAATTGATTGATGGTTTAAAATGTTGAGGTAGTATGGGAGCTATAAGTATCTCATGCGGGATGGCAGTGATGTCATGGGAACATGTTCTAGATTGATGATATCACGACTTATCTCCTGCCCCTTCCGACCGGTTCGCGAACTATTATTGGAGCAATGGAATTATCGCGGGGGTTTTACATTGTAATTATGTTTTTGTGGCGCATTAGAAAGCATTACGAGAAAGTTATGATAGCGCCTTTTCCCACAGTAAATCAGATACCAAGAGTTACATGCGCAGAGATTATGATAGCATTAGTAGAGCATTATGAGAGCTCGTATCGCGCGGGCGTGTGACGGGAATGAAACCCTACAAGGAATCTCAGAACCAACCGGATAATGTTGCTTCAATGACGACACAAAGTGGGTTCCCAAGGGTCCACTTTCTAACAAGGCATGTTCGTCCTAGATGGCAGTGATGTATCTACAAAGTAACACTAGTTTCATATTCATCTCTCTCTTTGATGATCAATTGGGGACCTTTGGAGACCCATATTCTCGCGCTAATGTCGTCCGATCCCGTTGAAGCCCCCTCATTGCGTCGGGCGAGTACATCGCATGACAATAATTTCGACGATTCGTTTCTGGGCCGGTTAGTTGAGACGAAGTAAAGGCTAGTTGCCTTAGTGTATTGATCCGTGACATGATGTAGGGTGCGGTCGTTCTTCAATCGCGATCGCCATGTCGGCGTCGTAAGCCATAATGATATCCGTGACCAAGAGATTGAGCTGCACACGTGGAACGGGAAAGATGATCCAGATAACCCGTATGTCCGATCGGGAAACTAGAGAATATCGCTGAGAGACAATGATCTAGGTTCAACTGGAGCAAATCCTACAAATGGACCTTGACCATCACCGTCTGCATTATGTATGTTGGGCACTACTCCGCCCTGGCCACTTCAACCCTATACGGACTCCCGCATATGCTAAGACAGAACTTTATAGATCAATTCTCACGGGTATTCCCGCTGGATCCTATGGCGCCGGCAACAATTACATGGCCGAGCGCTTCCATGTGCAGAATGAGCCATTCCCGAACCTGGCCTGGGCCACAACCTCATGGAACATGGGCGCCGCCTTCTGGCCATTGATCTTCGTTCCCTTGACCGAATCGTCCGGCCGCATGCCAGGATACTTCGTAGCCTATACCATCCTCGTCATTTCGTTATTTCCATCCGCATTCGCCCAGAACTTCGCGACCCTCGTCGTGACCCGCTTCTTCGGTGGAGGTGCCTCGTCCGTAGCTATCAATATCGTAGGCGGCAGCATCAGCGATGTCTGGTACGGCGACAAAGTCCGAAGTGTACCTATGTCGCTATTCGGCCTGACGAGCGTCATTGGTATCGCACTGGGACCATTCGTGGGGTCCGCAATTCAAGCCATCCATAAAAATGACCCATGGCGATGGTGAACACCCACATCACCACCAAACATAGCCCCCAAAACTAACCACCAAAACCAGGATCTTCTACATCCAAATAATCTACAACGCCGGCCTAATCCCAGTCTTCTGGTTCCTCCTATACGAAACTCGAGCAGATGTAATCCTAGCCCGACGCGCAAAGAAACTCCGCCGCGAAACAGGCCGCCCCATCTACGCCGAAGCAGAACTCGACCACACCAGCATCTGGAAACTGCTCCAAGTGTCCTTCGAACGGCCCACGCGCATGCTCCTCACGGAACCCGTAGTGGCTTTCTTCACGCTCTGGATCAGTTTCGCCTGGGGCATCCTCTTCCTCTTCTTCAGCAGTGTCGTGCAAACCTTCTCGACCAACTACGGCATGAACACCCTCCAAACCGGCCTCATCCAACTCGCCATCTCCGTCGGCGCCCTCATCGGCACGCTAGTCAACCCCCTCCAAGACATGATCTACCTGCGCTCTGCATCCCGGAACAAAGAGAACCCCGGCGTCCCCATCCCCGAAGCAAGACTCTACACGTCCATCCCGGGGAGTCTGTTATTCGCGGGCGGATTATTCTGGTACGGCTGGAGTAGTTTCCCGCATGTACATTGGATCGTCCCGACGTGTGGGATTGCGGCGACTGGATTGGGGATTTATTCGATCTATATGGCGGTTGTGAATTATCTGACGGATGCGTATGAGAAGTATGCTGCGTCGGCGTTGAGTGCGGCCAGTCTGGGGCGGAATTCGTTCGGGGCGTTTTTGCCGTTGGCTAGTTATCAGCTTTTTGAGAATTTGGGGTATGGATGGGCGGGGAGTTTGTTGGGGTTTATTGGGGTGGCGTTGAGTGTGGTTCCGGTGGTGTTGGTGTTGAAGGGACCTGAGATTCGGAGGCGGAGTCCGTTTATGAGGGAGTCGACTTTTGCTGGGGCGGACGAGAAGGCGGATTTGGAGAAGAATGAGAGTGTGGGGGGCCGGGGATTTGTGGATGGACCGGTTGATGTTGGGAATACTACTGCTGCTCGTGGTAGATAGATCGCGGTGGATGGTGGATGGTTCTGTTGAAGGAAGGAGTTTTTGTATGGTTGGGTTGGTGTTGGGTCTGTTTCTCTGTTTGCGTTGGATATGGTATGTGATACATGTAAAATACCATAGATGGCGGGGTGGAAAAGTGTATATTTTGTACGATATATATCATTGTGATTCGTGTGGATAGAGGACGTTCAGAATATATTCAGTCTCTAGATGTAATCATGATCTAAAATTCCATTATCATGGACGCATGTACGCGTTATATAACTCAATCGTTACTTATATACCCCTCTCCAGGAGGCCTTCAGCTTCCTCGGTTTGTTCGCTCATCTCCGTCTCGTGGCCCTTCTCCAGACGCTGCGCCATGGCCACTCCCTCTCTTCGGCCCTTTTCGGCATTGACCATCCAGACGAGCGGGATTGGCATCAAGATCAAGGGCGCAATGAAGAAGAATCCCGAGCGTACCTGTCCGGTCGCGTCGATGAGCATTCCGACGATAGCTGGTCCGATGACCGAACTGCCCTTGTCCGTGGCCGCGTACAGCGCGTAGAACGCAGCTTCACTACCAGGAGGAATGAGCAATCCGAAGAAGGACCTGCAGTACGAGGACAGGCCACCCGATACCACCCCGTGGACAATAGCGAGCGGGAAAATCTCCCACGGCTGCTGCAGACCAATGACACCCCACTTCTTGAAGAGAGGAATATATGCCAGCATGCCATACAGAGGGATCAGCTCAAATAGAGCAATGCAGAGCATAATGGTATGGTTCGACTTCAGCCCGAACCGTCGCGAGACCACCGGCCACAAGAAGGCACCAGCCATGCCAGACAGGGTTGCGGTGATGGACAACAAGCCGACGAGTGTCGTGCTCATTTTGAGCTCCGTGCGCGCGAAAAGGATCGCCGTTCCGGATACCGTGGCCATAGCGTCGGATAGGAGAAACCACGCGGCGAGGAACACCAACACCTCCCGCAGCTGCACCGCAATCTTCACCGTCTTCCACAACGATTTCCAGGCAAATCCGACGAGTCGCAACCACACACGCCATCGTTTCACCGACCCCCCGCTATTCGAGGTAGTCAGTGGGGGCCCTGGCCGAGCGCGCAGCCACTTTCGAGTGACCATCGTAAAGGAGAACCACCAGATCCCGACCAACAGCAGCACCAATCGCAGCGGAAGCGTCCCGGAAACCTTGGCAATCGACGTCTTGGAAAGTGTAAACAGGAGCGAAATACTCAGGATTTGCACGAGAACGGCAGCACAGTACCCGAGCCCGACCCCTTTGGAGGAAATGCGAGTGGACAGCTGTAGCTCCGGTGAAGTGGGGCCTGATGATGTGCCGGAGCCGGCTTCTGCTGCTGGGTGAGGCCCTGATTCTGCATCGCTCGCCGAGAAAGAGTCTCGGGGGTGAATGTATTCTCCATCGGGACTCATGGGGTGCAACTCCTCAGCAGACTTGGGAGCTTTTTCGAGGGACGGATCATTTGCGACCAGGACGGGCAAGAACGAATTGAGTACCACAAAAGACGATCCTAAACAGGTAACTCCAATGACCACCAAGAGAGCCCCAAGGACGAACACCGGCGGCGCAATGAAGACGAACAACATACTCGTGGCGGATCCAATGAACCCGAATGCCAGCAGGAGGGCTTTACGGTTATTCTCTGAAGGGTACCGACGGTGTCAACAGTTCCGCTCGAGATATCATTGCCAACATACTGGGAAGTCATACCGTAGTCCGCTAATGCGCTGAAGGATATCAGGGTCAATGCCTGGACGAGCACTGCCAACGAGAAGGTGTACATCGCGAAACTGGCGGTGTTGATGTTCAATCCGAACAGTCCGACGACACATTGATCGTGGTCGGCTCCATCGCGACGGAGCATGGCCGGGGCCGTGCCATTCACCGATGTAGATGGTGAACCGGGACCGACGCAGGGCAGGTGGCTAGATTTAAAGGTTCCTCGTTCGCGTGCCAGTTGTTCCAAGGTGAGAGGCAGGAAAGAACCTATGGCGCCGATAGGATTAGCACCGCTGCGACTCGATCGATCCGAACCAATCCTCCGGAGTCGTTTGCCTTACCTACGCCACAGACAGCGAATACCTCCGCGGCAATTCCATACGCATACCACCCCAAGATCTCGCGCTTGCTGGTCGGGGTTGTATCCTCGCCGGAGTACCGCGGAGGTCGCTGTTGGAGCTCCGCCGCGGGGGAGTCCGGCGATGAAGGGACGACGGTCATAAGGATCTGGGAGAGTGGGGAGTGACTGGGGAATAGAGTGAGCCGACCCGGTTACACCATTGTAGGAGCCGACCGACAGCAAGGTGAGAATGAGATGAAGCTGATGGAAGTGCCGGTTTGTTGTACTCTGGAGTAAGCGATTATTCATCCGAACGCGGAACTCTCGGAACTGCTTTCTCGCTCCCTGATTGGCCCTCCCGCTGATCTCCATCGGTCGGCCAATCATACAATTCTACCCCCCTGCCCTTCCAGTATATAATACTACTACTAGTTGTAGTCGAAGAGAAAAATACAACGCAAAATCATCGAGACCGTTATCGTGCCTGGCCCGGCTGGACTTTTCAAGTAGCCCGTATATCTCATCCTCGTGGGAGATTCCTCCCCCCACTCACTCTGTCCCCACGAGCATCAGGACGTCAACGCGCCACTGACGTCATTTGACAGGCACAGGTCAGGGCTTTTCTTGGCGCCGGGGCAGATAATGAGATCGCTGTAATTGACCTGTATGGGTATTATCGGGACAGATTTTCGCAAAGGGGCCCGCCCATGGCCTCTAGAGTCTGCAGAGGCGAGGTTTTCAATTGACCGTTCGTTCTAATTTAGCAAGATCCTCGGCAAGCTGAAACGCCATTGCAATGCCTGCGCTCCGACTGATATCCTTGAGTTGCTTGATGACCCATAGACGATTTTGATAACTAATCACAGGAGATTTCCCGACGGTATAGAGATTCCATATTAGCATATACCCGCCCGATACGTTCGGTAGCTGGGGCTGATGGCCATCAGGTACCAATACAAGCCCCAAACCCTGCGGAACGCTGGCCAATATCTCCTCCCCTCGTCTTGACAGAATCTGCGCCGCGTACTGTAGCCTTGATTTCAGCTTCGATCGGCCCTCCGCAGGATACGTGGGATTCTCAACAAGAACCTTGTTGATGAGCCAGCATACAATCTCGCACACGATGATCTCAACCATTCGCGAGTTGTTCCAAAGCCGTATTGCCCAAGATGTCTGGTATAGGTGATATTGGCCATTGTACGAAATGAACTCCGCACTCCCACAGGATTCGTGGATAGTTATGTACGGCTCCTGCCTGGCAAGGGCCTCAAGAACATATTGGAAGTCATCCTGAAGCGCAAGAGATACTTCTAGGAAGTGAAGCCACGTCATATCTCCCGGCAAAGGGATGCCTTTATGCTTGGCGGTGACGCTGGCGAAAAGGGTTGCGCACTGTGTGGCAAGCACCCCGAGTAACCAGAATGCATCAGAAGGGTCTGTATACTTGGTTGCCTCTTCCTGCAGCTCACGCATGTCATCCGGAAATGGCTGAAGGCTTTGAATACAGGCGGCCGACAGATCTGCGCGCACCTGATTGAACATGAGGATGGCACGCCTGCGGGCAAATTGAGATTTACCTCGGGCAACCACCAACGCAGCAGCTCCTTTGACATGTCGAACCCACGACTCAAAGTTTGAGACATGCTCGAAAACCCCAAGCGAGATCACCGACATCAAAGTGCTGTCCTTCACTGATTCCCCCGGGGATGCCAAGGCATTGTTCACACGGTTGATCGCCTCGGAGTACTTGGCTCGCGCGTGATGGATGAGCTCGGGCTGATGAGTTGCCAAAGCCACGAGGCCCACGGCCGCCATACTGGCGACGAGGGTCGGATGCTCAACATCGGCTGAATAAGTAGTTGGGATATAGTTGAGATATCCGCGTGAGCGGGAACGGCCACCTGCGGCAAATTCCTGGAGGAAATAATTCACGCCTATCTCGTCGAGACTAGGATTCGGACCACGGGTCGGTGGGGTCAAGGGGATCCCCGCCGCTGAGACCCCATTCTTTTCTGATTTGTTCCTGGAGCGTTTGATGGTGTGGGTTGTCTGGTCACGAAAGACTAAGTCCCATTCATCGCGGTATCCCAGGCAAGTTTCGCGCGTGCGGATGCATTGACCACATCGGGGAACCTGCTTGTCGCACTATATCGCCATGTTAATGTTAACCTGACTTCAAATGTGAAGGAAGGACCCACGCGTCGTTTTACAGCCCGGCAATTTTCGCAACTTCTAGATGTTCGTGCGCGAGGGGTATTGAGTGTTGGCATATTGAACCTTGTGACGACCAGGCGATCAGCTATGAGGACGGGATACTATAACGATGAGGAAAATGGGAGTTGCTATTTTGAAGACTTTCCCTTATCAGCCTTACTGGAATAAGGCTGACAACAGCTGGATGAACTTGGCGGAAACAAGCTACTGCACTCAGCCCTTTCAGATGCTTGTTCTCTCTTGGCAGGCCAGTGTGGGGGTCAGAGTGAAGACTTCCCGTGAAAGCCAAAATGGCCCCCAACTTGCATGTCCCCAGGCAACAAGTGTTTTTGTCCAGTTTTCGCCCCCAGGATAACTCTAGTAATATCATATCGAAACAGCCCCATGACCCGAGTAAGCCTTCCACCGATCTCGCCACTATAATAGGATAAGCATAGAAGATTCACGGGATGGCATTGGCGAGGCACTGACCCAAGGAGATCTGCACATCTTTACCGAGACGAGCATCCCCGAAGCAGCCTCTTGGCCCCAAACCCACTTGGGCGACGACTACCCATCCACACTAGTCTTCTTTCGGTATCTTAGATGTTGAACCAGTCAGGCACGGATTGTGAGCTGTGGCTGAGGGATGCCAGTGCGAAAGATAAAAAACAAAACGTCAATATGTGTCTGAAGTAGCACATAAAAGGACTCAATTGTCCGCTGTCGAGAGGAGCAGTACACAACCATCAGTTCTTTCTATTCATCTCGACCCATTCATTTTTTCGAACCTCTCCTACAACTTCCTCGTGCGCTACGACCCCCGAGAAAAAGCACTATGGGAACCGTGAACTATGCCGATGGAATAGCGATTCTCCAGCTCATCATTTTCCCTTTCATTCTCGCTGCGTCCCTTTTCATCTGGAAACGGACCGGATGGAGAGTTGGCGCTAAGATCTGGCGATACCCCTTCACCCTCTCTCTCATTCGACTTGCTGGCAGTATTGCGACATTAATTTCGATCGATCACGATTCAAAGCAAGTCCGGATTGCCATGTTCGTGTGCCAGCTCATTGGCATTGCACCGCTGCTGCTGGCGTATGTCGGCATGCTGAGATTAATGTAAGTTGGTGCCGGGGAAGCTCTTCGACCTGATGAACGGGACCTAACGACGATCGATCCAGTGACTTGGAAAAGAAGATTCCTCGTCGTCCCCTCCTATTGGTGACTCTCATGGCCCTGGTCGGGCTCATCCTTGGGATCGTTGGAGTCAGCACTGCCGATACGACGAATGGTTACACCCCAGGCACGCTCCCCAAAGCAGCCATGGGTCTCTTTCTCGCCGTATACGCCATAGTCATCCTCCTTACGGTTTGGCTATTCTATATATACTCCTTCTCCTTGCGGAAGTATCAGAAGATGTTGTTCCTTGGCATTGCCCTGTCTGCTCCCTTCCTGTTGGTTCGGTTGATCTACGCAGCCCTCGGCGATTACAGCTCGAACACGACGTTTTCCATGATGTCATTGGCCGAGAACAATCACACCAGCCTCACTGCCTATTTGTGCATGGCGGTTCTGGAAGAGATCATCTCGATGGTTATTGCCATGTTCTTTGGCGTATTGGCTGTTCTGCAGGCAGACTATGTGAAGCCGACTCCGGAAGTACACCAGGAGATGAAGTATGAGAATGTGTGAGGATTTAACGACAGTTATATGACAGGGTCATTTGAAACCAAATTCGGTTATTACAATTTCAATTTATAATTTCCATTTCAAGCATGTTCCTCGTTTTGATTTGTACATTAGATATCCCCAGCGCTTATTTTGGTAGAAGACGCAGATCTACGTCAGGACAATACATTACTCCCTATATAATTGGATATAGATATCTCCATTTACATAGCTTCTGAGTCGGACAGGCTATAATTTATCTGAAATATATGGGGATTCATCACCCATCATCACTGTATAAACTTGTATTGACGTCTGTACATGCAGGTCCCGCGGAGAGGACCACCCCGAAGCTTGGCCCTCTTGGAAGGATTTATTGAATGGGCCTCAGTGACACATCAAGCAGCTGGGGCTGTAACCTGTTCAGTGGAGGACTTCAAGACACCGGGAGCGCTACGGGTGGCTGCCGCGACCAAAGCAAAGGACAGACCAACGTGCGTGGTGGCTGGCATGGTGACCGCTATGGCATCATGCACACATGGTATATGCCCAAGGGCATGCCGAACAGCGGAGTGTCCGCCGCCGCACATCACTATGACTGGGAGAGCCGGGTCCGGCCACAGAAGCTACAAGAAGACGAATAACCCACTACGAGAGGGTGAGAGGCCCAAGGTGGAGTATTTGACCAACTTTCCCACCGACCATGAATTGCAGTTCACCAACACGCTCGGCCGTGACCTGCCACTGATTTTTTGGGAGTCTCTTCCTGAGGCTGCGAGACAGGGACTCGAAAGTGCCGAGTTTGGCAAGGCCACTGTGCCATTCAAGGATTCGACCTTACAAGGCAATCTTAAGAAGGCTGCCCTGTAGAAAGCCTTTAGGATGGCATATATGGTTCATTAAGGTGTTAGTGGACCGTATTTTGGCTGATGTATGTATCCAAGCTAAGAGCCACTGTTTTTGTCTGAGCTGTAGTTAAGAATCAACGTTTACGTTTAAAACCCTCCAAACCTAATGAGGATATTTGAATGAAAGTATATTGGTACCATGGAATAGGTTGGCCTACATCATCTACCAGTAGAATTGGCACCCTACACTATGCAAGTCAACGTAGGCTCGTATATAGTCCCTTTCTCTGTAGCTGATAGAGGTATTAAGATCTAGTACTATAAGAATTTCATCTTGTCCCGGAATTCAAAACCTCCCCGGTTCTAGTGCTTACGCGCATGTTAATATCTCCGTGCATGCCCCCGCTTCAAGGCTCTGATATATCTCGAAAGATACGAATATTCCACCTGTCCACCCCAGTCGACAGGAACGTCAGCGAGTTGGGTATGGCGAACCTTGTCAATCACATAGAGATCATCTGTATAGGACGCGTCGGCTTTGCGATATCACTAGTACTTATCTGTTAGATGTTCACATCGTGGTTGTCCTCAGCAACAACTATAGCAGATGCTTCAACATCAGCCTTGCTTGTGCACGGACCGTCAAGGAGTCAGGCTGGGGTTAATGATCGGCATACTCAACGAATTGATAAATAGTAATTATGGGTCCCGGCGAAAAGTAGAAACCGGACCGCTTCTGCTACACGAAAGGACCAATCCAAGGTCAGCACTAGAGTCGTACCCTAGTTGACAAGCTCTTGGCCACATCGTCTGATACTCGGTCTAGAGTAAGCCATGCTTTGAATAATGACGATATGTTACAAGTCGTGGAGAAGGAACTGCTCTAACAATGTTGCCGCTGTTCTGTTAGATGCTGCCTTGCTTCTGCGGCTTAATTACTCACAAGGGCTTTACTGGAGATTAAAACATGAAGTTAATACCCTATGTCCTTGTACCCACCGCTAGAGGACCAGCAAATAGTACAAATGCAGCATATGAGATGTTATCTTCAACGATCAACCTATCCTTATTCATATCCTATGAAGAAACTCGAATCACTTGAAAGTTGCCCGCGACCTTCTTAAGAATTCATGAAGCGCATTTGCAGTAATTTCTGCAATATTGTTGTCATAGTTGTTCCACGCCAAAGCTCCAACCCAATTGATAGATCCCACGGCAAAGACGGCACCCCCCGCCTGCGTCTCAAAGTATATCAAATCGCTTCGCACCTTGTCGCTGGTCGTGCCCAGCGTATTCACCATTGGAAACAGGATCTCCTCGTTGAACAAGCCATAGTTATCCGAATGCCCACCTGCCAACTTGGTTGTCGCCACGATGATCGCGTTCCGTGGGGTTCCGAGCGAGTAATCCAGCCGGTCGATCTCATCCCCAGAGGCCGCGCCCTGCACCAGGCCAAAGTTGCCGATAACGGTCGTGGCGGGATCTCGCAGTCGGGGACTGTTGAAAAGGAAGGATAATCTCGGATTCGCTCGCGCCTCGGGGACAATGCCATATGCTGCTCCTCTCCCCATGCCGCACGCGTCGGAGCCAAGACCACAGAATCGGTTCGGCGTGCGCCCGCGTGAACGCCAGAGGCCACCGAGTTCACCGGTTGCTGCGAGGTGCCAGTGTCCCGGGGGTAAACCGAAGGTGCGACATCCTTGGTCGGCCCGGCGGACTTCGATCCGGTGAGGACTTGAGGAATGATGACCGGTCACCCAATAGTAGCCGTTGCCACCGAGGTAGAGGAAGGAACCACCGTTGTTAAGGAAGGCGTCGTAGGTGTCGAGCATACTGTAGGTGGGATACTCGGGATGGCTGCAGGAGAGGGCAACGGAATAGCGAAGTAGCAGCGAGGGGCCGTAGATGGAGAGGTCGTGGTCTGTAATGATATCGTAGTTGTCCCGGCCAAGCTCTCTATCCAAGAACCCGATATACCATAGGTCGGCCGGGAACTCGCGTGGACCACCAAAACCCCAGTGATAGTAGCTGGTAGGCGTTAGAAGAACCGTAGAACGAATCGAAAGAGGAGGGGGGGATCTTACTCGGGCCTCATGTTCAACACCACTCGCTTAGTAGAGGAATATACTGTGCCGGAACCGTCGTTGTGGCTATCGTACAGCGAAATTCCTAGATCCGGACGATCCTCAAGAATATGAAGATGGCGACTTTTCATCACCGAGTCGGACCCGGGAATGTCAATATGCACGTCCCGCGAAGTATCGTATATGCGATCGTTGGCATACGCGGTGTAAGTGAAAGTTGGCATGATCAGGACAACCGGAGGACTCTTCGACTTGGACAGGTCGGGTCGGACAAAGATTGGAATCACATCTTCAGTGTCCCCGTCGGACACGACAACGCCGTAGCATCCCGAATGTAGATCAATGGGAAGCACCAGATCAAAGTCCTTCTCCCATGCAGCGTCATCCACGTCGTCGTCATGGAAGTGGATGGCACCGTAACCAAAAGAGGCACGCGTCCAGTCCACCTCGCGAGCGTCCCAATCATGGCTGGTAACGCCGCGGGCAGGACTATTGACTATTATACCGTGTGTCGCATGGATGGAACGATCGCGAAGGCAATTCGTGGGAATGTCTTTGCTAAAGTCGAGATCTAGGATGCACTGCGATCCTACCTCGATGCGGAACCCATCGATCTTGCCATTGAAGCTACTCGATGAAATGGGCTTTGAAGCTACTCGCTCGCCACTGGTGTGGCTGGCAATCGTCAGACATTGCGAAGATTTCATCTCCATGGGCTTCACGCGCTGGCTTTGGGTTTGTGTGGTTGATGATAGCCCAACATCTTTGGGCTTGCTTCGCACATCGGCGCTGACCGAGTTCGATATCGGATCCCAAGTGAACATCAGATAATACCACATCCCACGCTCTAGACGAACTGACAGAGGGATAATCTGCACCCCATCAGCTGCTCCAGTGAGCAGCGTCAGCGTGCCCTCATCGATCAGCGCTGCCAGGCCCGAACGGCCATCTGGGTCAAGCGATGAGAAGAGATATTGTTTGTGACCAGCCTGAAGCAGAGTAGGCTGCGCCCAGAACGACACTCTCACAATACTATCCTGAACCAAAAGGTCACTCTTCCAATGGACCGTAGCAAAGGACCCCGGACGGGAGAATTGTGGGCGACCGACGTGCTTCGCGGTCCGAACCGACTCAACAGGGCGACGATCCTCGGGCGGAGCGTCAGGGTGGTCCAGTTTACCAGGGCCTAGACGGACAAATTGGCTGGAGTACTGATCGCGGTGGCAGGAGACATGGATTGAAACGCTGTCGCCGGGCGAGGCCACCAGAGGGTCGGCATAACCGATGATATGGGATGCAGCCATTTTCCGGTATGAATCGTAATATTGGTTTGGAAAATGGACGCTGTTCTGGCAAGGCTTTAAGTAGCTTTGCCGGTCGGATCCAATCCCTGCCAGGTTGCATGGACTCGGAGTTTCCTCAAGCCATTTATAATTGTCCTCAGAAGAATTGCCGACGGGCCCAATGAGATGAACAAGCAAAGATATTACATCCCCACCCATATATTCTCTTACTTGCCCCACGTTGGTTTTTATATTCGCATTCTGCCGTTCCTTTTTGTCTCTCCGAATCCGCACTCTTTGCTTTTGTCATTCTCTGGAGGTTCGACATGCAGTTGTGGAGATTGAACAGGTGAGACCTAATACTGACTCGAAGAACACAAGCTGATGGCCACAGCCCTTTCGCTCAGAACCTCCTAGCCTCCATCATAGTTGGCCTGGGACCGGGACTATAGTAAGTACTCGCACATTAACTACATATTCTGTCCTTGACATTTCTCCAGTGTTGCGGTCACCAACCTCGGGGCAGGCGGCGGGCCGGCCAATGCTACAAAGATGCAGAATGTGGCTAATTTGGTTCTATACACGTCAGTGTTTCGTTATCTAGGTCAAGATCTTGATAGTGAAAGCTGAGATGTGTGCAGGATCTATTTCGTGGCGGGATCCTTCAGCGGCTCGGTGGTGACAATGATCGGGCCTAAATACACGCTGGCTTTTGGCACCCTGGGTTACCCTATCTACGTGGGTTCGCTATGGTATTGTACGTATCTCTGCTGGACATGCCCGAAGAGTACAGCTGATTGAAGCAGTCGGCCACACGGGCAATCTCTGGTTCCCAATCTTGGGCGGCGCGATCCTAGGCATCACGGCCATCCACCTGTGGACGGCAGCCGGGTTCATTGCCTTTAGCTATGCGACTGAGGATAAGAAGGGGACCTATATCTCCATACAATGGTGTCTGCTTAGTGTTGGAAGTAGGAACTCCTCCTTTTGACGTGGGAAGTACTTATGATCGCCAGGCATTATTGCCTCCTTCGTCGCGTTCGGCATCAACTTCAATGCCGGAGAGCTGGCATGCCCCGACTCGGTTTACATCGTTTTTATCATTCTGATGGCACTATCCCTCCCGGTCGCATTGTTCGGCATCATTTCGCCTGCCAATGTACGACGCGTGGATGGTTCGCCAATCGCACATTATGCCCACCGTGGATTCTGGGAGGAACTAAAGGAACAGCGTCGGATATTCATGGACTGGCGTATGCTTGTACTCTTAATTCCGATGTTTGGCTCCGAAGTGGCTATTGTGGTGTTTTCCTCAATCAATTGCATGTTTTCTCCCCCTTTACCATCGATCTAGGATACTGACATGAATCAGCGTTGTACTTTAACATTCGCACCCGCAGCTTGAACTCGGTCATCTTTGTCATACTTCAATGCCTTGGTGCTATCGTGACGATGGTCCTCTTAGATTATGGGAGGATCGGCGATCGTCGTGTGCGAGGAATTGTTTCGATCACCACGATGGGCCTCTTGACACTTGGTCTGTGGATTGGCCTCGCCCTTTGGTTGTCGCAACATCCAATCAACCTGACCAGTCCTCCCCTGTGGGATTGGACAGATGGGCCCTTTGCAGGCTTCATCGTTCTAACGCTGCTATTCGGGATTAATATGGCTGCGGTATGTCTTTTGCTTGGTATCAGTCCTACCGAACTGACCATGGACAGTACCAAATTGTTGTGCAGTGGATTGTCGCCTCCCTTAGCAATAGCCCCGACACTCTCGCCCGGTTTGCAGGTTTTGCAAAGGGATGCCTAGCCGGCGGGCTCTGCGCTACATTTGGCACCGAAGCGGCTGGTCTGGAACAGATTTCTGTAACGGCTTGGACCTTCACTTTGCAAGGGGTAGGACTCGTATGCATGATGGCGGTGACTTGGCTGAGTGTTCGGCCGACAAACTATGGAAAGGAAGATACAACTGTAGCACGAAGTGCCTGTCATCAGAATGAGACACGGGTGCTTAGTGCTGTTGAGAATAGTTAGATCACCGGCAAGTAAATGGCCAAATAGTTAGCATAGCCTGGATCATGAAATCAGGTCGTCGTGTGGAGCCCCATTGATGTCCACCGGGATAGAAAATGATCCAACGTATATTACCATGAGATTCAAAGAGGGAGCTTCCTTGCTATTCCACATTGGCTCTACACTTTGCCTGAGTAGAAGTTCGTCTCTCCAAAGGTACGGCCCGCTACACCCCCAAAGGTTATATAACTAGCTGCACGAAGTAGACACTACCGAGGTACTGGATTTACGTCCCAAGTGCATGTTATACGAAAGGCCCAATAGTAAACCCGGTTCCCGTCGTTTCATTTTCTCTTGTATTCTTCATGGAACTTGGTTCTGTCACGTATGATAGGATTATGACCCAGGGATTCCAAGAACCGTACCAAGATCAATTGAATCGGAAATGAAATCCGTAAAAGACAAACCAAATACTTACCAAGTACCATCGCCTAGTGATATCTCAAGGGGCATTGATGCTCTGCCCCTGGTTCATTCAGCATTTTCTGTCGATGGGTCTTTGCATTGTATCTCCGCTGTTGACGGAGTATACAGTAAGCTTTTATATTCTTCTCAAGCTGAATAGCCTTCCGTGAGTCAGAACGTTTGGCTATGATTGAATACTACAGTTGAGATCAATTGCAATATAAGCGAAGACGCCACAAAGGGAGATGTAGGAAATAATGCATGTAAGATGGGATCAATCAATCAATCAATCAAAATTCTATTAACCTGTTCGAGCCTAACTAATGAAATGTCTAGCTATGCAGGCGCCTCGCCGGTGAGACAGAATCCTGGTCCAGAACGCCTAAATCCCGCAAACCCGTATATATAGAGAAGATAACAATCGAAAAGCTTTTAATCACAACTAAAGCGCGTGCCACAACGCGCGATCTTCCCCTTTAGCCATCCCTCTGCGTCTTGCACCCCATTCTGTTCACTGTATAGTAGTACTGTATCGTTGGAAACCTCAGACCTAGGTTGACCCCCTAGCCCCTCGTGTGACCGCTTAACCAGCGTCTTCCCCCTCTGCTCCATTCGTTTCAGTGGTTGGTTCCGTGTCCTGCATAGTCAGCTCTGCCTCTCGGAACTGACTGAGCAGACCTGTTTTGTGTATAAACTCGGCAATATAGCGGATTGCCTGCGGGTGTGTAAGATGGGATCTTGGGAGTGGGAAGAGTATGATAACATTATAGTTATGACTTCCTGTTCTAGGTAAAGGATATATGTACTGTGGCCTGTTTCAGCCACTTTTCTCCCATTTCCACCCATCCATCCTCTCGTTTTCTCGTCTATCTCCCACTTATATTATCTTTCTTGCTTGCTGCACTTACGAACGTTGTTCCCCAAATATTCCACGCTTTGAGTGACTCGCACACCACTGGGTCTTTGTTCTTTGGCTTTGCTGTGGCCTGGCCTCACCTGGCCCTCTTTGATCATCGCTTGTCGACCGCTTGCTTCCTCGAACGCATACCATGAAACGCCCACGGTCCCGACTGAGTAGGCATCTGGAAAGCGACCATGATACAGACACTATCACGAGCAGCAGCACCGACTCAGATGGACGGTGGGACGAGGCACACGAGACGGATTTGACGGAGTCGGACAATACACTGAGCCCACCAAAACGTCATCGGTCGATTGAAAGTGCACGCGGCCCAGAGTTAGGAGGACCTGTGGGCCATCCCCTTGATACAACTGAAAAAGCCTTGGTGTGAGATAACCAGGCGCACGGCCAGGAGAGTCTCGAGGCTACATTGGAGGTTAACCAGGGAGCCTACATCGAAGTAGCATAATATCGTGAATCGCCTTGTGGATAGTTGTCAATGTCCGACTGGCATGTTAGGACGCCCTGCTGGGCACCCCTGGTCGGGATTGGCTTCGGGGTGGCTGTGGTCTTTGACGCGGTGGTAGCCGTGGACTTGCGGTCATCGATGGTTGTTATGAGACCAGACCCAGCACCACCATCAGAACCTTGGTCTTCGTCTCGAGAGTTCAGAAGGCAGGTATCACTGACACCTGTGGTAGTGGCCGAGGCCGTGGCGCGGCAGCCGGTGTGGACGTGACTACTAGTGGTGGTGCAGGAAGTGGAGGAGGAATTGATGGTGGAGCATGAGACCCAGACATCAGTTACTGTTGCGGTCGTTGTACATGTCTGGGAATCGTCGTCATCGTCACTGTCATCGCTTTCATTATGGCTAGGGCCTGGATGAGGGTTCGGGAGCGGTTTTGGGTCGTTCGAGGCAGCGAAGCCTCCGCCACCACAGCCAACGAGACATGGACAATCGCCGCAGAAGCTTTTAGAATGGCAGCCTGAGCCACATCGGGCACGGTTGGTACATTTTGGACCATTGCTGCTGTCTGAAGCCGAAGTAAACGTGACAGGCGGAATTTCGGTGTCTCGAGCTGATCAGATACCCAAGGGTAAGGTGGGATGGTTATATCTCGAGTGACTGGTGGATGCGAGACGCCCTCCTCCGACAGGGGGTTTGGGTCATCCGTGATAACGATTGTTTGCGGAGGAATACGATACATAGGATAAATGGTTGTCGTAGGAGTTGGGCTCGTGATTGTTACCGACCACAACGGCAAGACACTAACCGTGGCTAAGGTATCGATCAAGTTAGTAAGTGCATTTCACTTCATAGAAGCTTTGTAGAGCAGATGAATAACTTACTCGGAGGAACAGAAATTCTGGTCTCTTGTAGAATATGGCTAATACTCGAAGTAGTTACTACTTGACCATCCGGTAATGTGGTAGTAACAGGAACCTCCCATGCCACGTTCAACGTGGTTTGGTAGCCCCCTTGGTCATTATCGAATGTGATGACTGTCGGGCTTGGGAGGGTAACTGGGGGGAGCACGAGAATGCAGTCTGAGCCGCAGCTAACTGCTGGGTTTGCGTCCTGCCAGATCGATCCATCAACAATGATCTCTGGTGGCCGGTCATCGTCGCCATCGTCATCGTCATACTCATCATCATCGCCTTCAGAGGCCAGCTTGCAGGCACCAGGAGGGCAATAGTCTCGACTACACGCGAAATTGCAGAGCCCCTTGAGAAGCTCATACTCATCTGCATCACAGGTATCTGGGACACCTTTGACATCAGATGGGGGCGGTGGAACGTTCAAATCACCAACTGTAGCGCACCAGCATGTGCTAATAGGGCAATAGCCATAAGCACAGGCAAAGCTGCACAGCCCGGCATATCTTTCTCCATGCTCACTCTCGCCCCCTGTGCAAGCAGGGGCAGCAAACGGAGAGCTGGGAGGGATGTATGGTGGCGAAGGTGTCTCTGAGCAAGCTGATTCGGGACAATATCCAAGGTTGCAAGCGAACGAGCAAAGCTCTCCATAATTTGCATCGCCATTTTTTGGATATCCTTGCCTGTGGCTTTAGGCTTCTTCTTTTCGGCGCCCATCGCAGTGCAATAACATGCGCCTACCGGACAATATCCATACTTGCAAGTGAACTGGCACAGACCGGCGAAGTTTCTAGCTCCTGACCCTTTGATACAAGTTTGATCGGAGAGCTTCAATTTCGGCGATACAGCTTTGATTGTTGATCCAGCAGTGGCAGATCCCACCCACGGATTAAGATTGGCAAGGCCACTGACGCACGTGTCTGAGATGGCCTTGCCTTTGACAGTAAGCACACCTTTACTGTGCCGCGAGATAGTAATTATTACCTCGCCCATGAGATGCAGATTGAATGGGAAGCTGCCATGGTAGATGCCGACACCACCATCTGGTTCAAACTCCCAGTGACCGTCATATTCAAGGCCGCCGATACTGACGGTAACGGTTGCATTCGAGCCGAGCAGTGCAGAGAAAAAGACTTTGTCGTCCGCCAAGGTGTACGCGTCGTACTCAATCTGGAGTTGACTTGCTGTGTTTCCCGTTGTGCCTCCACCAGAACAGGTCGTTCGGGGGTTGGTGCGATACCAGATGACCAAGTTCTCCTTTGTCATCGACGATGTCCCCGTCTTATACAGATCAATGAGATACGGGAGCTGTGTCCGCCATCCATCATGAGGCATATCTTGCACATAGTTATAGGGCGCCCTCCCTGTGAGAAACGCCACATACGCCTTCTCGTTGAGGGGGCCAATATAATGCGACTCGCCGTAGTCATTCCAGGGGATTATCTCGACCCACTCCGGTTCCAGATAGGCAATTTCAACCCAGCGATCGTACCAGAGAGAGTCCGAGTGCCAAAGCCAGTTTTTACCATACCCAGGCATGTTGGTATAAAACCACGGAGAGGCTGGCATCATATATGACTTCCTGCCTCCGCCAAGTATTGGATATACGATGCGCCAACGTAGGTATTCATTCGTCCCAACCCCGTGGGCCAAGCTGCTCACGAGAACAAACCATCTGCCACCCCCCCTGCAAGTTGAAGAGCCGGCTTGGCACCTAACGAAGACCAGTCAGGGACAAAGAAGCAGCCAGTAGCAGCCTTTATGGCAATCCAGTCTTCTGCATTGCCAGGCCCCTCAAAGGTGGACACAAAAGGCTTGCCCTGGTAACGGTAGTGGGCCGAACTGGAGGAGTACTTTTGAAGCATCGCGATGACCTCTGCTTGGGGCCATGGCCCGTTTCCGGCATAGTCGAATGAGAAAAACAATTGAAATACAAGGCTCTCGGCAGCCTGGAAGGCATTCTCAACAGACTGTTCGTTCGTTGCCTCGTTATGGGCCATGTTGAGCGCGAAGGCATCAATATGCGCCTCTTGCGCGAGGGTCATATCATGCTTCCAGTCAGAAACCTCATAACCTTGCCTGAGTTTTCTACAGGGTGGTCCCCACATTATTGGGCGAAAAATAATACCAATTGCATTGTGTGTGTGAATATGCCTGTTCAATTAGTTGTGCGGATTCTTCCTATACCGAGTTGTAAATTTTTTTAATGCCTAGTAAGGTTAATCCTACGCTACGATCCCTGGTAAGATACCTTCGATGTCACGGTTAGGGCTAGGTTCGGAGGACTAAATCTTTCTAGCCTGATCGATTTAGTCGGCCGTAACTACTATTTATTTAATATCAACCCACCAGGCTTGGCGCCAACCGGGTTTCATCTTAGACAGTCATAGCTCTCCACTGTATTAAAGGAGGCGTCCACCTCTCTCCTCAAGCTCTGTCAACTTTCTCTTTTATACTCAGTTATGTTTTGTTGCGTTTTTCCTTTTTGAAATAGCCAGCACAAAATGATAGATCCTTTTCAAAAGCTGCCGGCAGAGATCATCATCCAGATTCTCGAGTCTTGTTGGGACTTCACAAGCTTGGATGGGCTACTACAGATCTCATCAAATGCCAATGAGGTCTTCGATACATACTACCCTAACATTACTGAGGCAGTCCTGGCCTCTTGTTCCATGACATCAGGGTTCAATGGCCATAAATTTCGATTGGTTGTAGCCATCCAGGCTGCAGCCATTGGGCCGCGCACATTACGGAAATTCCTGCAAGACAAGGATTGGGACCCAATGCCACCAGTCATGGAGTCCATATTTTGGTCGCTGGATTGCTCTACCCCCATTCGTCAGGCGATCAAGACAGCTGCTAAGGTTCATCGTCTTGCTTGTGTCTGTTACGACTCATTCATCGAGAATATCAAAAAGGCCAAACCAGCCCGCCCGAATGTGAACGAGGACGAGATGCATGACTGGCTTTGCTTCAGTGAACCAGTACGATCAACAATACTGTTTCCGCCTGATGCTATCCACCATCCATCCTTTGTCGAGCAGTTCTGGCTTCATCGTGCTCTCTGGGCATTTGAGCTGTATTCTTATATTTACAGGGCTGCAACAACACGCTGGGCCTGGTCCCCCAAGAAAGTAGGTCGATACACTGGCGCGTTTCTGATATTTCCCAATGAGATGAATTGGCACGAAGATGAGCATCACACCATCACTCAATGTATGAGATGCCTGTCACGCAAGGCGCCTATCCAACTCAGCTCTTACTACCCATGGCTGATTGAGCTGCCTTCCCCGGACGACCTCATTATCAATTCCTGCTGGGCATTGCCAGACCCGGTGGACATAAATGATCTCGGGAACAAGGTCGATCGCTCGTGGGGAAGGGGCCCTGGGTTTGCAAAGTATCCCGGCCCTGGTATGGGAACCTTTCGTTCGCTTCTTTTAGAAAATCATGTCAAGCCTGATAGTCCTTTACATCAATGCGATCTCCGAGTTTTTCGAGGGCTGGGTATCTCTTTCTGGGATGAATGGCGATTGTATAAGATGGGATTACAAAGGGAAATGGGGTTCACCACACAGCCGAGACCTGAGTACCCGAAACCCATCACGGATGTCTTGTACACCTGGTACAGCTTAGTGAAGGATGAGGATTTAGTGGACAAAAATACTTTCCCTTTTAGAAGGCGATTCTCTTGGTATGTTCGATGAGCCACCTTAAATATTATAGAATTATTATTTTTCTTAATATAAATAAAATATCTTAATTACAATCGGCACAAGGCGAGCCAATATAGCCGACTTATACCCATGGAACTTAACACCATCAATGAAACCTACACATTATCCAACCAGTAAGGTCTCGGTATCAGGTCATCGCGCAAAGTCTACAGGCAATATCCATTGAGGGGAATAGACCGGGCGAGAACCCTGTCAAGTGACAGAAAACCCAGTCTTTGACTTTATGACTCGTATTATGTCGGTGGCAAGAGTCCTGCGTCATGCTGCGTCGCCGAAACACTCTTAAATAAACGTGCTCTCCCTATGCCCTCTGGCACTTCACATTTACTATATACATGCTTGTGAAACATGTAACAGCAGATACACGACCCCAAACATGGCAGTAACTATCCCAGGTGGACAGCGAGCGCCCATGCGGTAAGTGAACAGCCATAAGACACAAGACAAGCTGAAACTGGTGGCACGCTTTTGTCTTCGAAGATACTCATTTGTGTCGGCCCTGATTAGGCCTCAAAACCCAGCCGCCTTTAGCGTTGTCGCCGGAGCAGCTGCGGCATGGATGATCTTCCGATGGTACTCGCCCTCGAAACCGGAGCCGAAAGCACTCCCCTTCCCGTACGAAGATGCGGAGGACGTTATACAGTCCAAACCAAAGAAGAAAGGTCCAACCAGAATTCCCTGAAAGATTGGAAAGTGGTTGTTTCGTGTTAAACTCGGAATTCAGTCTCTCCTGGTGGGCTTGAGTCTCGATCTGCATATTTTACGCAGATATATCGTGCGAAGTCTGTGTATATTCATTTATGACTCTGAAAATTCAATGTCATTCTTTTTGCTATTCTATAATTACCCATGGCGTATACTAGGCCTCTCTTCCTCATTTCAACTTGCCAAACTCAGGGGATCTAATGCTCTACAAAGTGATACTGGCCATACTTTCCCGCCTTCCGCACCTTCACACCACACTTCAATTTTACCTGATAATTTATCCAAAAGCCGATCATTGACATCCATTCTGCATTTATATAAATGAAGGACAGCCTAGATCCCATTCATAGCCACTGAGAATGACACTGTCACCATCGCCTCCTACTATAGTACTTTTCTGTTGACTTCAAGAATAATATATTACGAAATGCTTGAGACTGGCTGCAAAGTCGTTTTCTCCGATATTCAGGCGATCGAATGGTTCTATCGCAGCTCTACACCTACATGGCCTACATGCATCTACAGACGATTGGTCCCTTTACACGAGGCTAAGAAACGAGAAGAAAGATGAAACGTAAAGGGAGAATTGGTATTACCAGAGGGAAGCGAACGATCAGCAGCACAGCGCTTGGCGAAATGGCCACAGCGCTTACGTTCAGCCACTGCAACACAACAGTATTTAATTGTTGGTTTGTTACACAACCTAGGGCTTTAATTGACTTGCAATTCGCAGACGGGCTTTTCGCACCCTTGTGCCTTGTACATTCCGACATCAGAAACACACTGGACACAGTGAACGTGTATCTCTGAGGGCCAGGTCATCCACTGTGTCGGCGTTCTTCGTAACTCAAGAACAAGCGACACCGAGATGCGAAAAGCATATCAATATTAGCGCCATGACAAAGCCAAAATTAGAAGGTTGATAGGGACCAATGGCTATATGGCCTACATGGCATCGGGGATTGGGGATACACCAGCCTTGCCGCCCGTCAAGCCGGCACGACAGTCTCAGCTAACAACCGAGCAGGGGTAGTCTAGGCCTGCTCCAATGGCGATGCGATTTGAATCAAGAGTAATGCTACCATGTTCAATAATAATAGTATCACATGGATTGCGCGGTGGGTCGCTGATATAGGCTGTCAGTATCGTCGCTTCTGGGATCTCCACCACGGCGCTTAAGTGGATTTCTGTTAATATATCTTGTTCTCATTGTGGTTTGTCTTCTCCATGAGTTAGACACAGGCCAGTTGAGCAATGGAGCATAAAGTGATCACAGGTGAATCCAATGCTCTCGACAAAACGGGATTATGTCTACTATCGCTGGATGGTGGCGGTGTGCGCGGGCTTTCAAGCCTCTATATCTTGAAGCACCTCATGACTCAATTGAGCCATGAGCGACCAGAGCTCGGACAGGTCAAGCCCTGCGAAATATTTGATCTCATCGGTGGCACGAGTACTGGAGGACTTATTGCGATCATGCTTGGCCGCCTGGAAATGAGCGTCGACGAGTGTATCGATACTTATGTCAAGTTGATCAGTACAATCTTTGAGAAGAAGTCTCGATGGCCTGTAAACCTCTCGGGCAACATCAAGTCGCGATTTGACTCAACGAAGCTAGAAAGTGCTATAAAAGACGTTGTGACAAGCCATGGAGCAAAGGAGACAGATCTTTTCAACGACGGAGGTGAGCGCGGTTGTCGTGTGTGAGTATATGATTCCATCGATAACGTAGGATGATTCTCATATTGCTAGTTTTGTTTGTACCACATCACATGAGACAAAAGACATTGTACGTCTTCGAGACTATAGTGTACCGTCTAAGGATAACATTCCTGCAACCATCTGCCAGGCTGCACTTGCCACGTCAGCTGCTACATCGTTTTTCAACCCTGTTGACATTGGGAAGCGGAGATTTGTCGATGGTGCTCTAGGCTCAAACAATCCTGTGGAGGAAGTGGAAGGAGAAGCGGCAGACATATGGTGCCCTGGTACTGGCGATTTAAAGCCGCTCGTGAAATGCTTCATCTCCATTGGAACAGGAGACCCCGGAATAGCTCCGATCGAGGATAAAGCGCTCAAGTTCCTTTCTGCGACATTGACTGGTATTGCGACCGAGACTAAGCAGACCGAAAAGAGATTCATAGCAAGATGGATCAAACACTTTCATGACAAGCGGTACTTCCGTTTCAATGTTGACCAGGGACTGCAGGGAGTTGGCCTGGCAGAATACCGAGAGCAGGGAAGGATAGAAGCAGCAACGCATCGGTATCTAGATCACCAAGCTCAGGCGATACAGGTGCAACATTGCGTCCAGAACTTGAAGCTAAAACAGGGTGCGTATATTCAGGTTTTTGAATAAGGAACATTGAATGCATAGCTAATATGGAGTAGGTATGGCGGCGTGCAATATCTCAAGGCTCCTGATGGTACGTAGAGACCGGGAGCTTGGAAGCTGATATCATATTGACACAATATAGAAACACCATGCGTCACGTTCAACGCAGCTCTATATAAGTACGACTCCTCTGGGCCGTCGGTGTGCCAGTGCTAATTTTCTTACAGCGTCAAGTACCAAAGCACCCTGGACCGTCCCTTTCCGGCGGAATCCGCTCTTTGTCAGTCGCTCAGCGGACATTGCCAGGGTTGATGATATACTCAGGGATGACAGTGTCTCCTCCCGGGTTGCGATTGTTGGGCTTGGTGGCGTTGGGAAAACGCAGATTGCGCTTGAATATGCGCATATCGTGCGAGAGCGGCATCCGGACTGCGCAATATTCTGGATACCCGTCACCAACGCTGAGAGCATGGTGGAGGCGTATTTGCAAATCGCGAAAGAGCTGCAAATCCCTAATGTTGGAAACGAAACCAAGAGTATTCAGAATATAGTCCAACATCGACTGAGTCAAGAAAGCTCCGGTAAATGGCTACTGGTGCTGGACAATGCTGACGACATCTCCTTTTGGGCTGAGAAAACTAAGGATACGGCTGGTTCTATCTTGCCGAAGAGTAAGCATGGATCTATTATTTTCACAACCAGAAGCCACAAAACAGCAGTTGAGTTAGTAGGGAGAAATATAGTCACGGTCAAAGCGATGAACAGCGCACTAGCTAAGAACTTGCTCGGAAATACTTTGATCGACCGGAGCTTGGTAGCAGACGAACGAGCTACCGCTGAATTACTTCGGAAGCTTACGTATCTGCCGCTCGCAATTGTCCAAGCAGCTGCATTCATCAATAAAAATCAAATGACACTATCCGACTACATCTCTCTCCATGATAGCACCGAGGAGAGTACTATCGACGCCCTTAGTCAGAATTTCGAAGACGAAGGTAGATACGAGGACGGGAAGAACTCTATTGCGGCAACATGGCTCATATCCTTCGAGCAAATCCAGGCTTCCGACACGTTAGCAGCGGAGTACTTGTCACTTATGGCCTGCGTTGACTCAAAGAACATCCCGCAGCTATTCCTTTCTCTCTCACAGTCGGCAACACGGTCTGCGGATGCTCTTGGGACGCTGAGGGCTTTCTCCTTTATTACAAATCACGAAAATAGCCAGCTTCTGGATATCCATCGCCTTGTACACCTGGCGACGCGAAACTGGCTACGGATGCAGGGCACCCTCACAGAGTGGACGAACAAAGCTTTGAGTCACATGAACATGCTGTTCCCGTACCCCGACGAGGAGAACCGACTCTTGTGGAGGCCATTTCTACCACATACTCGGTATATCCTAGAGTCATGGGAATGGGATAACTCAACTAGTGCAGCGATACATCTACTACGTGTCTTTGGGCACTGTGTCCTTCGGGATGGGAGATACGCAGAAGCTGAAAGGGCTTTCAGCACGACTGCAGATTCATATAGAACTATGCTTGGCATCGAACATCCTATGACACTGGAAAGTGAGGGAATTCTGGCACAAATATACGTCAAACAAGGGCAATGGAGCAAAGCAGAAAACCTAACCATACACATACTACCCACCCTCAAAAGGGTACTCGGTAACGAGCATATATTAACAATGAGAGCCATGGTTACACTTGTGTCTATATACTGTGTTCAACAGCGATGGGCACAGGCAGAGAGATTGGAACTACAAGTCCTGAAAGCTCACGAAAGTGTGCTTGGCGCAGAGCATCAGGAGACCTTGATGTGTAAGCGTTTTTTAGCAAAGATATATTGTGAAACAGGCAAATGGAATCAATCAAAGAAGCTAAATTCGCAGATAATGAAGGGTCACAGAAAAGCATTCGGGATGGAGCACCCATTTACACTCTGCAGCACCCGCAACCTGGTAAGCGATTATATGTCCTTGGGACTTCTGAGAAAAGCCGAGGCACTGCAAACGCAAGCGACTGAGACTTCCAAGAGTGTCCTTGGAGCAGAGCACCCTGACACATTGAACGCCATCGGTTTGTTGGCCTCCATATATAGCGTCACAGGTCGCCTTGAAGAGGCCGAGAAACTGGAGTCACAAGTTTTAAAGAGCTGCCAAGAGGTACTTGGTGCGGAGCATCCTCTGACTATATGGTCTATGTCCCCTTTAGCTTACACCTGGTGGAGAATGGGTCGATATGCTGAAGCAACTGAACTATTGGAGAGCTGCTTACAGTTAGAAACGAAAATCTTTGGTCCTGACAACTCCAACGCAATAGAACATGGTCGAAGATTACGGCGATGGCAATTATACCAGCAAATGACGGGGGGATGCACTACAAGCTAGCTAGTGGATCAATATGCTTAAGATCTGGTTTATATACGTTTACCTCATATCTTGATGCAATGCTTTCGTTCAGTGTATAACTTTGCCCACCTTTCTAGTAAAGGTGGGTATTAATATGAGTGTTCTCGATTTTGGCAAGGCCTTTGACTACACGATAGCTGATTCCTTATATCCTTTACTTCTTGAAACTCTCTATCAATCCAGAGGGCTTATACATGAATTGTGTATAAAGGCCCTTCATTTCCTACAA